CCATGACACAGACATACCTGGTGTTGTCTGTCTGATTACTTTCCAGTACACACATTGTATTTTCTCTGAACTGGAACCAATCAGTTTACAAAGGACCGCACTCAATGGTTCACTCTCCTAATATAATGTGCTCTAATCATCATTTCTACCTGCCTACTAGTACCAGTAACCTGCCTTCAGGATAATTTCTTTCAGGATATTAAAAAACAGTTCTCTGTGCTGAAATCAACCATGACGCAAATAAATTGAGTTCCTTTTTCAATGTTAAACCAAGCATGACACTTAAAATATTAAATTTAATTAAATTAAATTAATAGCAAGGGCTCTGAGCTATAAACAATATATGGAGATAATTTATGCTATATATATGAAGTCAGTCAGGCAGTAAATGATGAGCACACAATGGTCTACACAGAGAACACCAGGTTTATGGGGGCAGTGACCTGCTGCAGAAAAAATGATGAGAGTTCATATTAACATTTATCACAGGAGAATGAGCAAACTGAAGATTAATCTCCTCCCTTGAAGCACTGAGTGCAGACTCATCATTCCTCTACATTACAGAAAATTTTATCACTCATTTCTTGCTTGATTTCTGCCTTCCCAATCACTGCTTGACAAATAAAAATCAAACCTGACTGAGGACTGCTGGACAGATACACCAATAACAAAATCCACTTTGATGGAAATTGATCTGTGGTAATGTTGCTCATAATGCTATAATTTTGAACTGTTCAATTTCTACATTAGACTGTTCTTTACACACTGTCTCACAACTTCAGTGTGACTGATGAAGTACCAAGTGTTGGGACAAAAGCTTTTACAGGTATGCCTTTAGTTAGTGTTGAAATCCAACAGTTTAAAATTTTCATCATTATGAACAAAATATATTGTTTCAACATATATAACTCAAGAGTATGAATAAAACCATTTCAAATGATTCTAATGATAGCCTGATGATCACTCACTGTTTTATGTTCTGTTACAACATATTCTACATGTACCAGTATTTCACAACTGCTCTTCTTTCTTTATGGGAATACAAATCACCTTTGCTTTAGATGGCTAAAATATTGCCACAGACTCTTACTTGTGTTAATTTTAGATGTACAGATGTCTTGGATGTCTTTTAAATCGTGTCACTGAAGTCAGGAAAAAAATTATAATAGGGGGTAAACATCAGGTAAAAGACACAAGTCTTAAAACTTGGTTTCTATTTAAATGACACGTTTTATTTTAACATACGTAATTATTAAATCTTTCCTGTAAGTACAGACCTTCTACAGATAATACATGCACAAGTGATACCAGACAGTACATTTATTTTGTAATTTTCGCAGACTTTCAGTTTCATATTTTCTGCGCAATTTCAGTGATGTTTCGTTATGTTTACAGTTTCTATCAAGAGAAAAGAAATGTAGCGAAATATATGAAAATGAGGAAAGAAAAATACAGGCCCAGCGATACAAGTAATTTTTTCAACCACACAAAAATTCCTGACCTTCTGTCTGGTCGGCCGACATTGGTTCGTAATCTCCTGTGGACTGCGGTCGCTCTTTCTTTACGCTGTTCGTTTGATCAGCCATTCTGATTTCCGGCTGTTTTCAGCGATGAGTCTCTGAATTCCCCTTGAAATACCGCTTTCTTTGTTTGTTCGCAATTTATCCTCAGCGCACCTTGTTTATTCTGGGGATTCTTGCTCAATGACAAATTTCATTGCGTTTTCAGACTCATATAACTCTGGCTGGAGCTTATAGAAATGACATGTTAGACCGCAAGATGGCCGCTATATGTCAAACCAGACCACAAGTTAGTGGAAATCTGCACAAGAATTATTTCTATCTCTTCTAATTTACAGTTATCAATACAAAAATACCGATAGAAGAATTTTTGATATAAAATGATTTAACAGTACAGAGATATGAAATCTTTTAAGATTAAAGAATAATATTTTAACTTTAATCACCAAGATACAGCGCGTGTCGGAGATCCCATAAAAAACATGAAAAATTCATAGAAAAATTCACAGGAAATATAATGTTAAGATTTTACTTTATTACAAGATACATGTCAATGATGTCATGCATGTAATAAACTCTCTGGCCTGAGACGTCATGTTGAATCAATCTCGAGGTCTCACATGGCACAACTGCCTGCGGCAGCCAGTGGCCTCGCTTTCGTAAATGTAAACTTCCGGTTACTTGGTGGTTTCCATGCGCCGACGGAAGTGAATTCGAACTGATGGCGCTAAGTTTAGTGCGGTCACTTTCTGCTTAAAATAAGGTAATTTCAGATTTTGTTAAAGTCGTAAATGACAGTTTTAGCAATTGGCCTAAAATATACACTGTCGTCTGAGTGTTTAAAGAAACCTCTCTCTCTCCTGAACCTCCTCCTTCTTCTCTCTCCGTTTATCTCCATTGGTCAAAAGTCTCATCTTACACTACAGTTATTCTAGACCTAATTGTATCGATCTTTTAAGGAAATCACAGTCTAAATGAAATTACCTAGATGCGCATGGATTTTAAATTTTGTGTATATTGTTCAAGATAGTCAAAGTGCAGCAAAAATAGACTGCAGAATAACATAAAACAAATTCATTTCAGAATAATTTGGATGCAACACATAACTGAGAGTGAACTCCAAGATGAGTAGTGCTAAGGAAGACCTGGCTGGCCAGCTACACAAGTGGGCCTTGGAGGAGATGCATTTCAGACCCCAGGGAAGACATGTCAACTCCAAACTCCCCTCTGTTGATGATTTCAGAAAGTATGATAACAGTGTTGTATCTCAGGCCTCTAGCTAGAGGGGGGAGGGGTTCGGGAGGTTCGAAAAAAAAAAAAAAAACCTTTTGCCAGAAAAGGTCCCTTCTGGATCTAGGTACACAAAGGATTCTTGGTAAAAGGTCCACATTTTCAGGAAAAGAATCCCCCTTTTGAAATTGCTGGCTACGGGCCTGTATCTGGACGTTGATATTAACATTTGGAACTAGTATTAAAGTTATTTATGAAATTAAATAAGCCATTCATTTATCTGCACTGGGTAAAGAGTTCTTATTGTTATCTAAAAATTAACAATATGTTTAAGGGTGGACGCCTCTGTATCATGAATACTTGCAAGTTGTATATACTAGTAATCCATCAGCTTTTTAAAATGATTTATGTTTTTTTTATATTCCAGCATATGTCGGGGTCAAATGGTTGACATCTGGAAGTTTGTCATACAACATGTCTATTCAGCACAGTGAGTTCATGGCAACCTATCCCAGGGTTCTTCACTCTAGCTCTCTCTTGAAACTGTATAGAATTAGTAGGAATTTCTGGGAAAAATGTTTTTTTAAAATAGAATAGCTTCTGGTGAAAAATTGTTACAGAGTGAAAAATATAGTGTGGTATGGACACAAAGTGTTCTAAGTTGAAGAAAATGCAAATGATTAGTATTTAAAATATGTGTAATCTGTCAATATCTATTTACTTTTATTTGTTAATCTTTGACTTTTCCAGAACTGTGCAGAAAGTTAAAGGAAACCTTGCCCTGTATCCTTGTCCTGTATTGACATACATGTAAATGAAACTTTCTTTTTACATGATTTAGCTAGTAAGAATTATTATCACTGTTTCTTCATAACAAACCTATGGGTTTTTATCATTGACTTTTTTCTAGTGCCAAAGCCACGCATGCACACACACATGCATACATAGCTGTACATGATAATTCCATCATATCGAGTGCTGTAAATGTGGGTTTGATTCCACTATGATATGCCCCAGTTTTAAGTAATATCAATCCCTTGACTGAGTATCCAGTAAACACCAGCAGTTGTCCACCCAGTCTTACAGAGTGAAGTACCAAGGAACAGAGCAGTACTCTAGTGAGAGAGATGAACTTCTGGAGACCAAGAGAGCACTGACAGCTGAGCTAGCCAGCCTCAAGTCTGATGTTCATCACGTGGAGAGGGATCTAAGTAAACTGAAGAAGGACATTCTGGGCACAGGTTAGTAGCTGGTGTAGTAAGAAGTGTCCACTCTCAGCAGTATGGTACACAATTGTGTATTAGTTGTGAATAAAAATTTTAGCATGAAATAAAATACTAGTAATTCATAAAATTTTCAATCCATTAAGGCAAATTCAAAACACAAAAATATTTATGTTTAATATATTAATATTAAATAATTCTTTCTTTCTTTCTTTATTATTATTATGATTTTATTTTATTATTAATTTTTTTTTTTTGAGAGGAGGGAGCATTTTCACATTGTGTAGCAAAGTAATATATTAGCAGGGTAAATAATACTTCTTACTTGACATAACTTGATATTATATTGTATTTCCAAATGAAAAATAAGAAGGTTTTTTTAAATGGCAAAGATTGCCTTCAGTTCTAATACTGTGATCTTCCAGAGCAAGCTTATAGGGAGTCGTGTACAGCACTAGGAGAGTTACGTAGACGCAGTGTGCTACTGAAGGCGCACTCACAGCAGTGCGAGGAGCTGCATGATTGTTACCAAGAGTTTGAACGACGCATGAACGGGAAAATTGAAAAGTACAAACAGTTGCAGAGGTGAGACATTCTTCTACCATCTTTTAGAGACTGTGATTGTTATTATTTGAAAATTTAACTTACTTTCCTCTGTAAAATGAGTTTTATGGAGTAGGTTGAAAAGATTTATGTTTACGTCTGTGAGAAAACAACTTTCAGAGGAGTAAAGATTGCATGTGATAAGTATATATTATTTTTCATCAGTTGTGCCACACTAGTCTAGTATTGTAATGTATTATTAGTTTAGTTTGCTTGGATTTGTCTTGTTTGCTGTGTACTGATATCATGCACCTGACTTCAGCTATGGACACTGGAGGACAGACTTGCCTCCCAGGTTAGTTAGCATGCTATAACACTCCATTCTTAATCTTTAACATCTCCCCACCTCCATATTATCACTATATTTACTTCTAAACTTGAACATCCTCCCCACCCCCACCTCTTCTATATTAACACATACCTAACCACGTGTGGTACAGGTTTGCTTCCCAGAGGTTAGTTTGCATGCTGTAACACCCTTCCCCTCCTTATTCTGTTTAACACTCCACTAAGATACACTAACCTTCAGTATGGATTTAACTTTGGGGGTCCATGCTTTCCTCCTTGGTTAGTGTGCATTTAATAACACCCCGCCCCCTTTATTATACTCTGCTTAAAGACACCAGTATAGGCACCAGGGATTCTGACATTCCTTCCAGGTTAATATACATGTGATAACAGTCTTATCCTAATCTGTAACACATCCTAAGATATATATCTGGCTCACATCTGTATTGATTTATGCATTACTGTAAAAAATTGAAAATTTTTATCACTTAAAGCAATAATAACTCTTCCTTTGAGATTCAAAATTCCGCAAGAAATACATTCTAAACAACACACGGAAATATATTATATTGCATTTCACCACTAAAACGTAGTAAAACTAAAAACTGTGCTTGTCAATAGGGCTTTCGGTGCCTTTTTTCCCGGTCATCAAGGCATTCGTTGCCAAGGATTTTGGCGCATCACGCGGATTCTCGTGTGCAGTCGAGACCAAAATAACACAGGCGCATGACACAATCCTCAGACGTAAG